GCGTGTGTGTGTGTGTGTGTGTGTGTGTGTGTATGAGTTTAGCTATTTATCTCTTCTTGCATTGTCTTCCGATTTTGTTACTGGTAGACTTTATAACAGCAATTTTGTTGATGCCTAACCATTTGCAAGTTACTATTGTTTATTGTGTTTATGTTAACTATATTATGTCTGTGTATTATATTTTATTTGTCCTATTTTGTTAATATATAATCTTTTTCATATCATTTAATATATAATCTTTGCAATAAATTAAATTACATGGAATTAAATTAAATTAAATTAAATTAAATTTTGTTATACAACATACTTTACTATTCCTCTTTACTATTCCTCTTTACTATTCCTCATGTATCATGAACCACTAAGTCTTTTGCATGTCCTACAGTAATCATTTTATGTAGATTATGATAGCGCTATTTAACACAGTCACAAACCGATTCAACTCACAATAATTTCAATAATATCAATAATAAGAAACTGAAAACATAACACAATACTAATATAACATAAAGACATGTAACAGAGTAGTTGCGAGAAAATTACTCCTACTCCTTCTATTTTTTCTGACTTCTGCGGCGTATTTGCCGGAGTTACTCTATATTTAAATCAACGTTAGCAATGAGGATTTAATATTATCGAGATGTGTGTGCAAAAAATTGCTTCTTCCCGTAATTGTATTTTGTGATATTAATGCAAACAATATATTATAAGAAAATTATGAATGCTGTTCTTTGGTTTCTTTACTAATTAACTAAATAATACGAATGTAACAATACTTTTACTGAGATCCTTGAGATATTGATTTAAAAAAAAACTGAAATAAAAACAGCAATTTTATAAATCTATGTTTTATTAATCAAACCGATATAGCATAAAGCGTACAGATACAGATACAGCATTTTTTCTTTCACGTAGTCTTACGGACCAACCATGCTTGAAGATTAAATAAATTTCTGGAATATATTAAATATATATTTTTATTTTTAGTATTTCTTTTTATATTATAATTTTTTTGTATTTATAATATTATTTTTTAATATTTCTTTTGCGTTTAATATCTTTTGTATTAAAATGTATTGCAAGGAACACTGTAAGTATACTGATAAATAATACATTCGAATTTATCATGAAACGATGATATAACTTGATAACAATTCTTTGATAACTGTCACGTGATTACACCCTGTACATAGATATATTCTTATCTTTATATCATAGAATTAATCAAAATCACTCGAGGTAGTTGTTGATGTAACTTGTTGACGGTCATGTGTTTACCCATGATGAAATGTCAATCTCTTCCACCATAGTTCACCCTCTTTGTTTTCTATCTATGCAACCACCCATCGACATCTAGACTGGACGAAATATGCGGCGAAATATCTTGATCTTGCAGACCTAAAAAGAGAAAGATAAATATTTGGGCACGGAACTCTCTTTTTACTATTGTCCTATTGATCGAACTCTCTATTATTGTCCTATTGGTCGTTACTACCCAAACATCGTTCTATCTCTTTCTAGATCTGTTAAGATAGTTTCGATGCTCTGTCCAGTACTACAACATGTTGATGTTACCACTGGATAGGAAGCATATCCTTGTCTTTATATCATGGGCACCCCACTTCACTAATGGAAGCGAACTAAGTTTACTAGCGCGGATTTCGGACAAGGAGTTCAGATGAAACTATCGAAAACCTATTGAGTGCCAGGGACCTAATTTGAATGAATCCTACGCATATTCTAGCTTGTTGCTAAGGCCTGAATATCGATTATATAAATTTTCACGAAACTTTCATTTTTACATTTTTTTGTATGTACCAATCTCGTGAAAAGTTTCACTTTCAAACGATATCAAACTTAATGATTATATAAGAAAATTATGAACAAGTGAAATCAGTAAGAAAGTTACGAAAAAGTGAGATAATAAAGCGAATTTACATCGTTCCTCTTAAATTTACGAAAATTTGACAAGAGCTCACGGGTGTATGTACATACGTATTTTGATAGGAAATCATATTGTGCTCATTATTTGTTGTTTCTTATACATAGTATAATCGAAAATAACAATAAATGTAACTCAAAAACAAAAGGAAATGCTGTAGACATAATATCAAAAAATTTGGATATTGTGCGAGAAAGAATATCGCAAAATTCTCAGAGTCGTGGAACGACTGGTAAAAACATGTTATTTCATTGTTCTTGATCTTGATTGTATGTAGTAAAAAACCTATTGAATGCCAGGGACCTAATTTGAATGAATTCTACGCAAATTCCAGCTTGTTGCTAAGGGCTGGATATCGATTAAATTTATGGTATGTATTTAAAACTCGTAAAAAAATGGAGAACATAGCAAATCCTAAATTGTTCTGAACTGGGGCCGGATAAATCTTCATCTGAATAGAAAAAGATTATTTTTTAATCTGTTTCATAAATCTCTATTTTTTTATTATAATTCTTATTTTTAAATTTTTAAATTTGTGATTTTTATGTATTTCATATTTTTATCTTTTATTCATATATTTAATTTAACATCACGCAAACGTTTTCTTAATATGCGAAGTTTTCGCCTGCATGCTTTCCTCTTTGTTCGCACCATTTATGGCGAAACCACGCAATTCATTTCAAATATGGTATATATTTCAAATAGATATTCAAATATATTTGATATTTGTAAAAGCGAGAGAGTTCTAGTGCAGTCTAATGCAGGAACAGAAAACAGATCGAAACATCGAAATCAAACTAATTTATATCAATTTAAAAAATAATTAGAATTTCACATTTTAGGCATTTCGCTACTTGAAAAATTTCTCGAACTCTTCTACATTTTATAACAGCCAAAAGTTAATCGCTTATTCATTACATTTATGTGAATTTTTTCACTTTTTGTGTATTCATTCCTAGGAGAAACTTTACATAATCGATGGTTTACAATCAGTCGAGAGACGTTGTCGTATGTTGCATGCATGCGCATAACCTTCATTTTTCGTGTCGATTGCTGGGCGTCGTTTGGATTGGTCAGGTCCCATCTTTTACGACTAACGATATCTGACAAGTCAATTTGATTGTAAACGAGCCCTAATTCTAACATTTATGGCGAATTCGACACACATACATTGACTCTGCTCTAATGCTGCTCTAACAATGCAAGTGTAAAATCACTTTGGTGCTATATTGAATTGCACTGTCAGAAAACAGTACAACATTTCTTGAACTCATTCAGTTCATTCGGTTGGTTCAAATTAATATCCATATAAATTTAGCACTATATTAGATCAGTTTTCATTTGTCGAATACGACAATCTTAATGCACTGCACTTAATGATACAGCTTAAAACATATACTCTTAAAAAGTTGAAGAAAAACAATTTAAAAAATTACATTTCACCTCTCATGCGTATCGGTCTGGAACATTACTGACTAGGCGCATTCTATCTCGACCCTTGTCAATTTTCTCGGTTTTCTATCTTCATCCTTGTTAATCTTCGGCTTCAGTCAAGTATGCAGTCAGTGTATGCACAAAGATTATAGACTCATGCTACTTCTAATGATATATATAGCAGGGAACACAGACTCTTGCATAACGCATAATATGTAATGCATATGAAAATATACCAATCAAAATCCTTTGTTTCCTTCTTTTCTATGAAATAAAGAACTCTGATTGGTTGAATTTCTTATGTGTTATGCATTATGTAAGAGTTTGCGTTCCCTGCTTATGTTCTAAGATATAATGCGCACAAGCCGAATGCGTGGCGCTTAAAAGTTTGTACTCAGTGCACACTAGTCCAATCTGCCGAATTTGCTATTAGTTTTACATATTACTCATTAGTGTCTTTGTCTAATTATCTGGTGCTGGTTATATTACAGATGGAAGTCTAAAGAAAATCTCTAGCGAGCCGAAGAATGTTCCAATTGTGCTCAATATGCTCCCTCAAGCAGATAGCACAGGTTTTCTCATCCATCAAGATCGCTCTTCTCAGAAACCGTCCAAACTGCATATTGACATTCCATCTATCGATGATGGTCCTGGAGTATAACTTATGTCGGCCAGAAAAAATTAAAATAAAATAAGAAAAAAGAGAAATAGAAATAGAATCACAAAAGAAGAGAATGATATAGAAACAACACATATGCACGCGTATTCCTCATCATACAAAAATTTGAATAATCCTTTTTCTTGTTTCATAAAGAGTAAGTTGTGTATTTATGTTATAGATTATATAACTAGAGAAGATTAATTACATATAAATAAATCAATTAAAACGATCTTGATAATACGTGTATTTGAAAAATTTAAGTTTTAAAATAAGAACTGTAATTCTTAGTATCACAATTTATTAAACATTGGCATATATTATGCTGATTCTACAATGAGTCAATAATTCTAAGTCTTATTGGTGAAGTTAATCTACTGAAATATAATAACTACTAGAACAAGCATAGTTCTGCTATTTTTATTAAGAATAATCCGAGAGAGAGTTTCAAATGGTATCTTCCTTTTCTAACCTATAGATAGATATAATTGCGCATGTGCGGATAATGATATTAATTTTTCGGTGCGCGAAATTTTAAAATTAATGTTTCGTTATCAATGTTAACGTCATTATCGCATTTACTATCAATCATTGTATTAACCCTTATGAAAAACATTCTCAATTTTGAGTTGCATTAAATACTCAAAAAGAACGCTCAAATTTGGATTAAACACCATTTAAAACTGTTCAAATTTTTGTGTGATTTCGGACCGTCAACTTGAAAGTTACACTCAATTGAAAGTTAATGCTCAAAGCAAACCATCTTTATTTTATAAAATTAATTAATTCTGTTTTATTGCTAAAATAACATTATTAATCTGTATCATATTTTGAAATATATATGACAAAATTAAATTGAAAAAAAAAACGCTTTCGTAGCTCCCTCATTTAGAGAATAATAAGAATTAATTTCCTTATTTTTCTAAGCGATTACCTATTCAATCTTATACTTCATCCAAAGATGACCTTGCAAGCGTACGGAATTGCTATTTCGATGATCCAAGAACATTGAATGTTAATGTGGATATATAATTATAACATACACACATATATATATA